AAATTCTGTTGATAATGATGACAGCCTGCATCTACCGCACCCCCTTCTCCTGCTCCTCCCCCCCCGAGCCCGGTGTCATGACCAGTTCTAAAACACCGGAGGCGGAAGAAAACACAGGTGGCCGGCCGTACGCCTACGCATGCCATCACTGCCTCTTCCCCCGGTCCCCACCCATGTGCGGCAATTCACTATGCGTGCGCATCTTCAATAATGTCTGCCTTATGCTGAGCCAGACCTCGTGTTGCTTCCGCGCATGCCACGTCTGTCGTGGGACTCACTCTTCCCATTGTGTTGCTTGGGCTCAACCATTGCGAACAGTTGTATCGCGACTAAAATTAGATTAATATTGAGAGTTCAGAGACCGGGATGGCCACGTTAGATTTGTTGGCTGTTATCGACCAGCCATATCCAATCCCAAGAAGTCACAAGCTTGGGCCTCAGGAATTTCAAAACCTGGAGTTTATAATGGCTAGCTGATGACAGCTAACGAGACGTAAGTTGTTAGTACACCTTAACTCATTCTACGGATAACATTGATCGAGATGCGACTGCCTGTGGTGCCCTAGATCAAGCCCAAAAGCACAACGGGACAGATGAGTCCGGTGACCGCCTGGTAATAATCACCTACCTATCATTGTTAAAACGGTCAAGTCTGTCGACGCAGAAATGAAGGGGAGAATGACCCAAGCTCTCCCGAGTTACCTCCTCCGGGAATACTATTTATATCTCTTCATGGATGTCCAGAAGGTGGACTATTCCGCCGACCTTCTGACTACTAATCGTCCCGATGAACGATGCAAGCAGGACTATGACGTCGAGAAAACTGTTGGTCGCCGAGACTTCCCTGCGAGAAGCCCATGAACCGGTTGCGCGATCAGCATCCTCACGGAAGTTGTAATTTACGAGGCTGGCGTCGAAACATGTCCGATTGAAAACGGTCGAACTTATTACGCGTTCCACAATCGATCTCCGTGGTGTATACAACGGAGGGAATTATGCGATTTCCGGTCGGCCCCACTGCATGAGTGTGCAGGAAACCTGCTCGCCTAGTGG